CACTCTTCCTATTCTCCCACCAACCTCTCTCCTTCCTCTCCCTCAATTCCTCTCTTATTTCTGGCCCTCTTTTCTCGTCTCACACCAACCCCTCCCCCCCCTCCTCTTCTCTCCACTCTTCCCCCTCTCCCTCCTCTTCCCCTCTCTCTCTCTCTTCCCCTCTCCTCCTGCACTCTTCCCCTCTCTTCTCATTCTTCTCTCTCCTCTCTTCTCCCTCTCTCCTCACTCTTCTCCTCTCTCTCCTCACTCTTCTCCTCATTCTTCCCCTCACTCTTCCCCTCTCTCTCTCACTCTTCCCCTCTCTCTCACTCTTCCCCTCTCTCCCTTCCCTCTCTCTCTCCTCACTCTCCCCTCTCTCCTCCTCTTCTCTCTTCTCATTCTTCCCCTCTCTCCTCACTCTTCTCCTCTCTCCCTCATTCTTCCCCTCACTCTTCCCCTCTCTCCTCACTCTTCCCCTCTCTTCCTCTCAGCCAGACGACCACACTGTCCTACATACTCGAGCAAGAATCGACCCGAGTACTGTGAGTCCCCCTAATCATGTGTACACTGACCCCCGATGACTCACAGCGCTCGGTACTGTCACCTCACTCGTTAGCCAGTACCTGAGGCTGGAGGGTGTCTTTGTTGCGTTCGAGTATGTCCTGACGAAGGGAGGTAGATGTTCACTTATATCCTGACGAAGGGAGGTAGATGTTCACTTATATCCTGACGAAGGGAGATAGACGTTCGTGTATCTCCTGACGAAGGGAGGTAGACGTTCGTGTATCTCCTGACGAAGGGAGGTGATTTTCGGCCAAGATAGTGTACATTCGCCTGGTATGATAGGTGTTTGTGTGTGTGTGTGTGTGTCAATAATGGTTGGAGGATGAAATATGTCGCTGAGAGAGAGAGAGGAAGGAGTTTACTTGGAGCTGAGAGGGAGAGAGAAGGTGGGACACAATTTGCTGGGAAAGGTGAGAGACATGAGCATCGCAAAGGAGATAAAAGAGAGAGAGAGAGACGAGAGAGAGAGAGAAACGAGAGAGAGAGAGAGAGAGAGAGATGACATTGTTATAAATCTGATAACCTCATACCCCCTCTCTCCTCACCTCCCCCTCTCTCCTCCCCCTCTCTCCTCACCTCCCCCTCTCTCCTCACTTCCCCCTCTCCTCCCCCTCTCCCTCCCACCATCCAGAAGGTGTTAGATTGGTGTGATATAAATAGTAACTCCCTCCCCTTCCCTCCCTCACATTCATAGTACTGTCACCCCTCTATTAACCCTCCCACCCTCCCTCCCCCTCCCCTCCCCTCCCCTCATCCATCAATCTTGCTACCTCGTTTTCTCACCTCTCCCCTCCCCTCCCTCACCCTCCCTCCTGTAACCACCACCTCACCCTTATTTCTCCTCACCTTTCCCTCCCTCATTTGTCAGTAGCCGTCCCTCCCATTTCACGCCATCACAAATATTATCATCCTCCTCCTCCTCCTCTCTTCCTCCTCCTCCCTCCTCCTCCTCCTCCTCCTCTTCCCCTCCTCCTCCCTCTTTCCTCCTCCTCCTCCCTCCTCCCCCTCCTCCTCCCCCTCCTCCTCCTCCTTCTTCACTTCCATCTCCTTCTTCATCACCCCTTCTTTCCTTCCTTCCTTCCCCTCTTTCTGTCTCCTCTTCCCATCATCCTCTCAATCGTTCATTCTCATATCTTCCCATATCTCTTTCCTCTTATCTCCTCTCCCTCTTCTCCCCCTCCTTCTCCCCCCCTGGTTATATGTACTCTCGACTCACCATAGTGATCGATAGTGAGGAGGGAGTGGAGGAGGTGGGAGGTGGGGGAGGGAGGAGGAGGAGAGGGAGGTGAGGTGGGAGGTGAGGAGTGGTGGGAGAGGGAGGAGTGAGTGGTGAGGAGGTGGAGGAGGTGAGGTGGGAGGAGAAGTGAGGAGGTGTGGAGGTGGGAGGAGTGAGGGAGGTGGGAGGGCGTCAGGCCTAAATTTTGGTGTTGATGCCCCCCTACTCTGATGTGCTCCCCTACTCTCCCTGATGCCCCCTACTCTCCCTCATGCCCTACTCTCCCTCATGCTACTTCCCTCGCCTACTCTCCCTCATGCCCCCCTACTCTCCCTCTATGCCCCCTACTCTCCCTCATGCCCCCCTACTCTCCCTCATGCCCCCCTACTCTCCCTCATGCCCCCCCCCTCTCCCTCCTTCCCCCCTATGCTCCCCTACTCCCCCTGATGCCCCCCTACCTCCTCTCCCCTCATGCCCCCCTACTCTCACACCCCTATACATCCTTCCTCTTCCCTTCCTCTCGACCTTATTCTTTTCCCTCCTCCAACTCTCTCTCTCTCTCTCTCTCTCTCTCATTCTGTGTCTCTCTGTGCCTGTCTGTCATTTTGTCTGTTTACTGTGATCTTATTTATGTTTATCTGTCGCTCTTTATCGCGTGTGTGTGTGCAATTGCGTAGTTTATATCTGTATTTGGGTACGTGTGTGCGTGTGCTGTATCATTATCCGTGTGTGTGTGTGTGTGTGTGTGTGTGTGCAAATATGTAGTAAAGTGTATTCTGTGTACGTATGGGTATGTTTTATTCAAATCTGTGTGTGTACATTGTCAGTATATGTGTGTACGTAAGTAATTGTTTGTGACAGCTGGTGTGTGTGTGTGTGTGTGTGTGTGTGTGTGTGTGTGTGTGTGTGTGTGTGTGTGTGTGTGAGTGTGTGTGTGCAAAACCACTCGGTGTAGAAGACCAGCTGGATGGAGCCAGTTGGGTCAAGAAGAACGGGAAGAAACGGGTGGGGTGGGGGTCGCTGAATGTAACCCTCCCTCCACCCCTCCCTCCACCCCTCCTTCAGGACACACACTGGTTTTAACGTGACCACACACACACACAAGAAGATAAAACAAGTGACCTTTCTCTCTTTCTCATTCCCCCACCTCCCCACACTGCCCCACACGTCCTGCCCCACACTTTCACCCCTACGTCCCCACACCTTCCCCACGTCCTCCCCTAGAACCTCCCCACACCTGCCCCCACACCCCGCCCCACCCCCCCCTCACCCCTACACCCACACCTCCCCTCACCCTACCTACCACACCTTATCCTGAACACCCCACACCTGCCCCCACACCCTTCTCATCGACAGTGCTGGAAGGATTGCACGCCCACCAGGGTCTAGTGTGCACCCTCACCCCTGCCGGAACTCCCACGAGGTGAGGAAGGAGGAAGGAGGAGGAGGAAGGAGGAGGAGGAAGGAGAGAGAGAGAGACGTGACAGTTCGTGTGTAGTCATGTAGGGGTTAAGTGCTTTGCGCATTTACTGGAGAGGTGTGTGTGTGTGTGTGTGTGTGTGTGTGTGTGTGTGTTTACGTGTGTGTGTGTGTGTGTGTGTGTGTGTGTGTGTGTTTACGTGTGTGTGTGTGTGTGTGTGTGTTTACGTGTGTGTGTTTACGTGTGTGTGTTTGTGTGTGTGTGTTTACGTGTGTGTGTGTGTATGTGTTTACGTGTGTGTGTGTGTGTGTGTTTACGTGTGTGTGTGTGTGTTGTGTATGTGTTTACGTGTGTGTGTGTGTTTACGTGTGTGTGTGTGTGTGTGTTTTCGTGTGTGTGTGATTATGTCTTTGTATGTGTTTATTTCTGTGTGTGGGTGTATGTATATGTCTTTGTGATGTCTTTGTCCTGTGTGTCTGTCTGTCTGTCTATCTGTCTGTCTGTCTGTCTGTGTCTGTCTGTCCGAGTCGCTGTGCCGTATATCATTCCGTATATCATTCTGTCTGTCCGTGTCGCTGTGCCGGTGTATTTATGATCGACCTTGTCCTTGTATGTCCCCTCCGTCCTTGGTGTGTGTGTGTGTGTGTGTGTGTGTGTGTGTGTATGGTGACGTCTCTACACACATAAACTAATTGACGACTTTTCCCTCATTCCTTCTCTCTCTATAAATCGCATCCTGATTGGTTCATTTACCCCCAAGCAACTAACCAATCAATGACCAGCCTGCCTACATCACCACATTTTGTCAATCCCTTCAAGAAATTGTATTTAAACCAACTGGGATTACTCTTGAGTGATTAGGGAGGGAAGGTGAGTGAGTGAGAGGGAGTTAGAGAGTGAGAGGGAGTGAGAGGGAGGGGCGAGACACGTGGTATTCTGCAGGTTGTTGTATTGATTGTCTGTGGTAGTGGTGGTAGTCGCGTGCGGGAATCCCTGTTACGCTACCCTGGTTCTTCTCTCCCTCCAGTTTACTACAATAAAGTAACTTGGCCTCCACATTCGTTTATCCAACAATATCCAAACTTAATCTATTTAGATATCCATTTATCCATTCAGCCATCCACCTGTTATTTTAATTTGTAAATATTGAAGAAAAGTTTTTATGATTTTTTTTTTTTTTAATTTTGGTGTATTTGTAAATAAAGTCACTCGTATTTTGTTTATGTTTTCAGTGTGTGTGTGTGTGTGTGTGTGTGTGTGTGTGTGTGTGTGTGTGTGTGTGTGATCACTTTTGACACCTTATGGAAAATACTGGTGAGGGGGAGGGAAGGAAGGAAGGGAAAGAAGGAAGGGAAGGAGGGAAGGCCTGTGCGTGTAGTCTGGCAGTACATCTATCACGCTTGTCTCATTCACCCTCACCTACCCCCTGTCACCGTGCCTCCCTCTGTAACCGCCCTCACACCCCCCCCCCATTTACTACCACTACTGAGACTCCCCCTTAACCCTCTTTCCCCTCATTTCCCCTTACAGTTAGTCAAGTCGTAATGGTTTTTCTGCAACTGTGAGAGAAAAATTCCCTTTACAAGTTCCATCTGATCTTACTGAAGTGATCCTTAATATTACGAATACTCCTTTCCTGGTTTTCCTACTACCCCTCTCTCTCTCTCTCTCACTGCCCCCCTCCCCCCTCACTTATCCCCCTCCCCTTCTCCCGCAATCCTGAGTCACTGTCCCTCCTCTACCTCCCCCCTCTCTCTCTCCCCCTCTCTCCCTCTCCCCTAGCCTGCCTGCCTTTCTGTCTGGCTCCCCTCATTCGGTGTTGGTCTCTCGTAGCGTTACCCTGTCACCAAAGACGATGGTAGTTGTTGCGGTGGTGTGTATGTGTGTGTGTGTGTTTGTGTGTGTATGTGTCTATGTGCGTGTGTCTTGACTACTACAGCGATGATATGTGTCTCTCTGTGTCTTGGAGGGAACTTTGTATAGTGTGTGTTCTGCCTTTCTTATCGTAAATTGTGTTTCTTGATGTGAATTTGTGTTGTGTTATACTTGAACTTTACTATACCACTTAGAACTTTTGTCCTAAGTGAACTGTGCTACTGTGCCTTATATAAGTGTACTGTTCTTTATAAACTGTGCTTGTACCATATTATAACATACTGAACTATATAAGTGTGCATGTATCCGAGTAGAAATTATATATTGTATCGAATATCATGTACTGGTTCCCATTTTGAGATCAGGTGCAGTGTGGTGTACCGAATGAGACGCGTGTGTTGTATCGAGTGTAAAGTGTGTGTGTTGGTGCTGCATTAGGTTAGGTGGTGGGTGTGGGCGAGCGACGGAGGGAGGGAAGCAAGCAAGCGTGTGTGTGTGCCGGGCCCTGGAGTTGGTGATACGACTCATAAAACATCGACTTTTGGTGTGATTTTGGGCCATTTTCAGGTCATGTTGTGTGGCCTTGTATTGATTGGTGTAGTGTGGCCATGTGATAACTCGTGTGTGTGTGTGTGTGTGTGTGTGGCCATGTTGGTGACTGATGTATTGTGGCCATGTAGTAACTGGTGTGGCCCAGTATTGACTGAGGTGTTGTTGCCATGTGATGAATGATGTGTGGCCTTGTGGTAACTGGTGTGTGGCCCGGTATTGACTGATGTGTTGTGGCCATTGATAACTGGTGTGGCCACGTGATAAATGATGTGGCCACGTGATAACTGATGTGGCCACGTGATAACTGATGTGGCCTTGTGATAACTGATGTGGCCTTGTGATAACTGGTTGGTGACCCTGTGATAACTGATGTGGCCTTGTGATAACTGATGTGGCCTTGTGATAACTGATGTGGCCACGTGATAACTGATGTGGCCTTGTGATAACTGGTAGGTGACCCTGTGATAACTGATGTGGCCACGTGATAACTGATGTGTCACGTGTTAACTGATGTGGCCTTGTGATAACTGATGTGGCCTTGTGATAACTACTAAGTGGCCACATGTTACCTGGTCTGTGGCACTGTGACGGCTGCTGTGTGTTGTGAGGGTGCCATGTTGGTGTAGGTGCCACCCTCTCTCCCTCACATGTCTCTCTCTCTCCCTCACATGTCTCTTCCTCCCTCACATGTCTCTCTCTCCCTCACATACCAAAGATTCATACATACTTTAGATTCTGCTTCACATATATCTTAGATTCATACATAGTGGTGCGGTTAATGGGGTGTTAGTGGTGCGGTTAATGGAGGTATTTATGGTGCATTTAATGGGGCAGTTTTGTGTTGTGATTAGAGCTGTCGTTAGTGAATAAAGATGTAATTTATCTTATCAAAGGTTCAGGAACTAGATACTTAACAAGAGTTTAAAAATATTACAAGGAATTATATGAATCTTCAAGGCCTCCCCACGGTATAGGCCTATGTTTTAAGAAATTAGGCCTATTTAAAGAGAAAACCGTATGTGTGTGTGTAAAATAATATTAAAAAGAATTGTATTTTTTTTAAGGGGCAACTTTAGTCAAATTCCTGTAATCGAGATTGAAGATAAGAATAACGTTTAGAGATTCTTCACACACACACACACACACACACACACACACACACACACACTTACTTTGATAACACATCATACATTTATTCAGCTGTTTATATCAGGTGGTGGTGCATCCGGTGTGAGAGATTGAGTGATTTGAGTAAATGACTGAGTGTGCAGAGACGCCAACATTTTTCCTAACCTTGCTTCAACTATCAACATTAAGACCAAATTATTATAGCAAGTATTTCCCTGATATAATTAAATCATTACTTGTGTATATATTATATTTTTTAGTCTCCCTGGTTAGTTTTATGTTATTGCAGTTTTCTTTCTTTTAGTTATGCCGTTAAATTTTATCTCCGTTATTTCCTCCGCGTGAAAATCAAATCAGTTTGCTTACTCGTGTTGCGGTAGACGGTGGAATTTTTTCAATAATCCTTCAGTACTAGAAGATTCACTATGTTGGTATTTTTATGTCGTTGTCTCCATAGATGTAAGTGTACTTGAGATGACTGGAGTGAGTGTCTGATGTCAATATGTCTGAGAAAAGTGAGAATTAGTTTTGAAGCATCAGTTGGATTCATATGAGTGACTGACATTTGTATAATTATTTTGATATCTGTCTCCTTTATGCTATTAGTAAGCTCATATGTACTGTATCTTTGTTAAATTATATAGAATTTTTTTTTAATTTAACTTGTAACAAATAGTAAATTAAACGTAAGAGAGGGGTAAATTATGTAAGTCTGTAGCCGATTATCGCGTGGCAGCCAGTCAAGTCAAGCCTCGCGTGTTACTGTATACCTGCTGGGATAATGGACTTTTTTTTTTTTACTGAGAACATTTGTGATTGCTATGACGACGGTATGAAGGATTTTAATAGCAATTCCTGTAACTTAAAAAATAAAAAAATAAAAGTCGATTACGCAGAGTTGAAGTGAAATTATGTTTAAAAAGTAGATGTTGGTGGAAATTGCATCTGTTTGTGAGTGAGGGACACCAAAAGAATGTTGTTTAAAACGATTAGCTCAAAGATTCGTGTGTCTTGTTATATACTAGTGGTTCAAGGTTTCAAGATCTACGTGACCCGGAAATGATTGCTATATAAGTTGTTGAGGTGAAGGACAAATTTCATTAACAACTTTTTACTAAGACAGTTTCTGGCTTGTAGTTTGGGTCTAACACGTGAATTTATTTTGTATAATTGGTAAACTGTATTTGTTATTATCCAATTACACCAAGATAGTAAAATCATTAATACAAAGGAGATTTGAGTAGATGTTAAAAATTACAATTCCTCATTATTTACATGACCCTTAAGTAGATAGATGCTCGATGTAAAGTGTCCAGGGAATTTTGTCCAGGATTTCACGTAGTAATTGACGTATATAAAATGTAGTCACAGTAACTTTGGTCTGATTTTAGTCATCATTAGCGCGTCGTAGATTGAGTGAGTTAGCTACATTCTCCGTATCCATTTAAGTGTTAAAAAATTAGGCAAGAAAATGTTGAGTATGGAGGTCGGGGGGAACGGGACGAGAGGCGGCCGCAGGCGAGGGTGTGAGGCTGTCTGGTGCCGGAGCAACGTCTCTAGCTTCCTTCATCCTTCCTCCTCCTCCTCCTTATTGTACTTTGAACACAAGGAAGGAAAGGAGGTGTCGTGTCTTCTTACTTGTAGTTTAACAGCGAGGAGTGAGGAAGGAAGGTGATTATACGCATAAGAGGAAAAATGACGACCCCACAGTAACGCGACCCAAGTTTAATGAGGCAACCATCTGCAGTGCTTTGTTTACTTCTCTGACCGAGGGGAAGGGAGCGCTTTACTTTCTTAATATCAAATTGTTTTACTTTACGATAAAACTGACATGTTGTAAATAAAATAGTGGATTTTTTTTATTAAGCGGAATATATTTACGAGTTATTATTATCGTTGGTGCGCCATTGAAGTCTTTTATTGGTGTGTGGCTTTAGAGGCGCGGGAGAAGGTAATGGGGGGTGGTAGATGTTGTTGTGTGACGCATCAGGTAATTATGTATAAAGGTGTATTCATAGTTAATGATGACACGGATACATACGCGTACCTGTATATGCATATATTTTCACACACACACACACACACACACGTACAGTACACACACACACACACACACACACACACACACACACGTACAATACACACACACACACACACGTACAGTACACACACACACACACACACACACACGTACAGTACACACCCACACACACACACGTACAGTACACACCCACACAATCATCTTTGCCAGGCACAACTATCAATACTTAGAACTAATTATACATGACACATATCACTGGGCAGTGATACACACACACACACACACACACACACACACACACACACACACAGGACCGTAATACACACACACACACACACGTCAGTAGGTACAAATATCACCTGACGTAGGCGAATTAGTCGTCATTATTACCTAAGTTGGGAGGGGTTAGGTTATGTGAGTTGAGGCTAGACTAGGTTAGATTAGGTTAGGTTAGATGGGGGTTAGGTTAGGTTAGATTAGGTTAGGCTAGATGGGGGTTAGGTTAGGTTAGGTTAGGTTAGGTTAGATGAAAGTAACATAGCCAAAGAGAAATAAAAGAGTGAGAGTGAAAGCAAAATATTACAAAAGAAAGCCGAGACACTGTAGGAGGGAGGGTGGCGGTGCATTGTGGGTTACCAGGTGAAAGTTTGTCCCTTTGTGGCCATTTTTAGGAGAAAGCTTAAAATCTACGAACGAGTTGTTAAAGTACTTTGTGTACGTCACTGGTTAAAGGAGAGAGAGAGAGAGAGAGAGAAACTACCACCAGTTGTATTTTTAGAGTGTTTTCTTTTACACGTCTGTATTTTAACCAAAGATATTTAAAAGTTATGGTCGTATGTAATTTTCCTGCACCGTACGTGATTTTTTTTTCTTGTACGTGATTTTTTTTATTCCACCGTACGTGATGCAATGTGTTTTTTGTTTTGTTTTTTTCATTGAATAAAACCGATCTTCTGTATTTTGTCTCTTTCATAGTGATGTATATTGAGTGTTAATGTATGTATGTATGTATGTATGTATGTATGTATGTATGTGTGGGTTTTGGTGAGTAAATATGTGACACCATCTACCATATAATAACGACCACCCTACAGAGAAGTGTCGCAGCCCAAGTTGGTGCAGTGTAGAGAGACTTTTAACCACCACTACAGCTGCTACAGAAGTGAAGGGTAAAACAAAGACTAATCGAGAGTAAAAGAGACGCACGTTTGAGCTTCTGTCACAATCAGAGACGAACGACAAGAACAGGACATTGAAAACTAGCCAGAGTCAACAGCAGCTCTTCACTAAACCAAGCACCACACACCTCAACAACAGCGGCATGAGGAGGAGGAAGAAGAAGAAGACAACGACTATGAACGGCAGTAATAGCAGTCTTAGCAGCATCAGTAGTAGTAACAGTAGTAACAGCAGTAATAGCAGTAACAGTAAGAGGATGCAACGAATACAGCCTAATACCCCGGGTAGTTCTGTCGACACGTTGGTTCGTCTTAGAGGCCAGAGTGGCGATAGCGGCGCTTGGGACTGCCTCGTTGCACAGTCAGACCCGGTCAAGAGGCGTCGGAGGAGTAGTAGCGCCTCCGCCACTGGCCTCCTCACCCCCAACACCAGGTTCTCCACCATCTCGGAACCTGCGTCATGGAGGTTCTCTGTGCCCCTAGCGGCTGGCAAGTCTCCCGTCGCCTGCAAAGGAGTATCACGGACGACGGAGGGGAACTTGGTAGTGGCTGGGACCAGTGGGCAAGGGGTCAAGGTGACGATGGAGGCCAAGTACCAGGTGACCAAAGTGGGCGCCTTCAGGAGGCTCGCCCTCAGGATCAAGGAATGCTGTCTGAAGTAAGTTGTGCTGCTGTTTTTGCTTGCTGTACGACTGTTTCAGCTTGCTGTACGACTGCTTCAGCTTGCTGTACGACTGTTTCAGCTTGCTGTACGACTGCTTCAGCTTGCTGTACGACTGTTTCAGCTTGCTGTACGACTGTTTCAGCTTGCTGTATGACTCTTTCTTGTTGTACGACTGCTCCTGCCTAATGTGTGACTGCTCCTGCCTGCTGTACGACTGTTTCTGCCTGCTGTACGACTGTTTCTGCCTGCTGTACGACTGTTTCTGCCTGCTGTACGACTGTTTCTGCCTGCTGTACGACTGTTTCTGCCTGCTGTACGACTGTTTGTTTGCTGTACGACAATTTCTTCTGGCAACACGTTATGATGCTTAGCTCCCATATGCTGGTGGTTCATTCTCTTCCATATTTCAGTATAACTAATGCACACTTCTATCGCTACTCGCTAGACATAGTGAAAGAATAGTATGTTTAGATTTTTTTTATCACAGGCAAGTATTTATAGCTTCGTGATAAATGATAGTTGTGCGTAGTAGTAGTAGTAGTAGCGGCAGCAATAAGCACTATCAGTGGCACCGCTCAATCAATACCATGAAAAGATCGCCCCTGCAGGCAGAAGGCTGGAGAAGCAGTCGTCTGGCTAACCATCCATAAAGCGTGGTGTTGTTTTATAGGTTGTACAGGAGAGAACGTCTGGCGATGGTCATTGCTCGACCTGGTGGTGGTGGTGGTGTTTTACTTATGATACGGAGTTAGGGAAGACTCTCTCTCTCTCTCTCTCTCTCTCGCTCGCTGATTTATCTATATATAACTCTCCAAGACGTCACAGGTCGAGTCATTATGCAGAAGTACGGCCATATTGGGATCTTCAGGTGGATTTAAAGCTGGTACAGAGCTGAGTTACATGTAGGTGGTAGTCCTGTGGTGGAGAAGTACAGTTACGTCAAGTCACTGTAATGAGTGTTACAGGAAGGTACTGTGACGTTATAGTGCTCTACAGAAACCCTACAGTACATTACAGCAGCCGTACAGTACGATAGAGTAACGTTACAATACATTACAGCACGATACAATAATGTTATAATACATTACAGCACGATACAGTAACGTTACAATACATTACAGTACGATACAGTAACGTTAAAATACATTACAGCACGATACAGTAACGTTACAATACATTACAGGCACGATGCAGTAACATTACAGCAGGGTACAGTAACGTTACAACACAGTTCACGAGCAGTGTAGACGCGCCTCCGTAAAAATCTTTACAGGTCAACAACGAAGTGATTCTATATATATATATATATTTATACTGGAACGCGTCAACACAGACTGATGATGACAACAGTGGTCTCCGGGGCTCTCTTGTTAGGACTTGACGAAGGAGCCAGACGGGGGAGCCAGACAGATTAAGGGGGGGGGCTGAAGGACTCTCTGGTTCTTGTAATTGAAGGATTGGTGAAGGACTGTGGTGCATTTTATTGTGGTTGATGATGGATTCTTGTTCCTGTAATTGAAGGAACGAATGACTATTGTTTCTATAATTGAAGGAACGAAGGACTGGTGCCTTTTTATGGAAATGAATGAAACTCTCTGCTTTCTATAATTGAAGGACTGGTGTAGGACTCTGTCTCCTATAATTGAAGGAATGAAGGACTGGTGAAGGACTCTGTCTCCTATAATTGAAGGAATGAAGGAACAGACACCCACCCACCCACCCAGCCACTAAGGGGAGACCCAGTGCTGTATCGACATTCCTGTATCCATATATGAAAGCAACAGGTTACAAGAATACAGTAAACCCTCCCAATACCGGACTAATTCGTGCCAGCTCTGACCTTTATTGGGAGGTTTCCGCTAATGAGAGGATTGACTTTCTCACCCCCTCCCCTGTGTACTGAATACATAAGTTAATAACAAAAATTGCCCTATTTTCAAAATTAAGCCAGGTCAGGTTAGGTTGGATTAGGTCAGGTTAGGTTGGATTAGGTCAGGTTAGGTTGGATTAGGTCAGGTCAGGTTGGATTAGGTCAGGTCAGGTTGGATTAGATCAGGTTAGGTTGGGTTAGGTCAGGATTGATTGGGTTTGGTTAGATTGCATTACGTCAGGTTAGGCCAGGTCTGATTGGGTCAGGTCAGGTCAAGTCAAGTTAATGTCAAAGGTCTGATCACACCGTCAAAAGTTTTCATAATTATTTTGACGACTGGGCCAAATTGACCTCCAGGTGAACTGACTCAAGGGACGAAACAAGAGATGTATAGATGAGAAATTTGTAAGAAACCTGAAGATTCCCGAGATATCTCAAAGAAGGTCTCAAGAAGTTGGCGAAGATGAGGGTTTAAGATGGCGAAGAGGATGCTTAGAGATGGCGAAGAGGATGTTTTAGTTGGCGAGGAGGATGTTTTAAGATGGCGAAGAGGATGTTTTAGTTGGCGAGGAGGATGTTTTAAGATGGCGAAGAGGAAGTTTTAGTTGGCGAAGAGGATGTTTAAAGATGGCGAAGAGGATGTTTAAAGATGGCGAAGAGGATGTTTAAAGATGGCGAAGAGGACGTTTTAAGTTGGCGAGGACAACAATATTGACGAAGACAAGTTTAAGTTGGCGAGAGAGAGAGAGAGAGAGAGAGAGAGAGAGAGTTTATCATGGCTTGGTAGTGGCGGAAAAGTCGACTCGGTTACCACTAATTGACAGAATAATTGATGACTGAAATGAACCTGAGGAGGTGTGGTCTCTCTCTCTCTCTTCCTCTTTATAACTTTCTATCATTCTCGTCCTTTCTCTCTCTTTTCTCTTTCTCCTTCTTATTTCTTTCTCTCTCTTTTCAATTTTGTCTGTATTCTCTTTTTTTTCTTTATCACTGTCTGTCTCTCTTTTTATCTCTCCTTCTTTTCTTCTGTCTTTTTATCTTATCATTCTCTATGTCTTTATTTATATTTCTTTCTCCTCTCTCTTTCTTTCGTTCCTTCTCTCTCTCTCTCTCTCTCTCTCTCTCTCTCTACACCTACACACAACACAACATAATAGAAACACCGCAACACAACACCTGACATGTGACTGTGTGACTGTGTGTGTGTGTGTGTGTGCAGAAATAGTCGTCAACCAACCATTCTTTTGTCTTTTAAAACCTTTCTTAATTCTTCATTTAACGACATCAGGGTAAGAAACGTGATAGGAGAGGAGGTGGTGGTGGGAGGTGATGGGGGGTGGGGGGGTATTCTTCTCTTGTCACTGTCCACCCTTCCTTCTCCTACTCCTTCTTCGTTATGTCTATTAAAACCTTTATCCTTCGTGTCTGATTCTTAATTCATCGGCATCAGGTTAAGAAACGTGATTCTCGTTGCCCACCTTTCCATCTCCTCCTCCTCCTTCTTCGTTATTCTTCGTATCTGATTCTTCATTCAACGGGAACAACAGGGCAAGAAACGTGACGAGAAGGAGGGAGGTAGGTAGGTAGGGTAAGGGGTCATACTCTCTTGTCATAGGCGCATTCGGTTTTTTTTTCATATCTCAGGTACGGGTTAATTATTCACAGGTAAGAGGGAGGTATTGTCTTTGTTTGGTTTGTGTAGTTAGTTTTTTAAGAGATGAGGGGGTGGGTGGTTTTGTGTGTGGGGGGGGTGTGTGTGTGTGTGGTATTCTTTTGTAGACCGATTTACTCTTTGTTTGAGTGTCAGGTGTAGGGTTTTTTTTTTCTTCAGTATTTAATCCTTTAGAGTACTGATGATTTGATCTCATGAGTAGAGTGTTATTGTACTCAAAGGTGGTGGTGGTGGTTAAGTCAAGAAACGTCGTACTCAAGGGGTAGAATTTATGTTAGTTAGTTAATGGGAGGATTTAAAGTACTCAGTGGAATGACATCGTATTCAAGTGGTTAAGATGATTGAGTGTTTGAGTCTTTGTAATTTATCTCGTTATTTTTGGTGTATTTTTTAGGTATTTATTGTTTGTTTCCGTTGATATTGTGATTTCCGTTAAAGTTTGGTTTTATAAGCGGTTATTATTTTACCAAGGACGTTATTTCTGTTAAAGTCGTTATTTCCGTTAACGAATTTATTTAGGTTATAGTCGTTATTTCCGTTAAAGAAGTTATTTACGTTAAAGTGGGTATTTATGTTAAACGTTATTTCAGTTAAAGCCGCTATTTCCGTTACGTTCATTATTTGCCGTTTATATAATTATTTTCCCATTAAATTCTTTATATGGTTTTGTTATTTTTATCAGTTACAAATATTTCTTTCCGTTATAACCATTATTTCCGTTATAACTGTTATTTCCGTTATAACCGTTATTTTCGTAAAACAAAAAAGTAACTAGTTTTTTATGCTAAATATGGTGATTTTGGTTATTTTTCTGTGTCCTGTTCAGTATATCGTTGTCTGCAGGTTAAGGAGTCATCTCTCTCTCTCTCTCTCTCTCTCTCTCTCTAGTTTAGCGTGGTAGTCCTTTAATGTGCTTCTTGGGGCTTCTCTTAACAAGGGCTTCAAGAATGGCCAGACAGTGTCCTTCGTGAGGATTTCTTGGTCGACTAACTATGTAGGTCAGACGGGGGGGGGGAAGATAGTGTGACGCCACACCTCCTAGTGTGTGTGTGTCCGTGTGTGTGTCCGTGTCCGTATATGTATGTGTTTCTCCTGGCGTGTGTCTGTATCCATCTATGTGTTAAGCCAAAAAAGCTTCCCTTCCCTCAGGTGAGCTAATCCATCAGCCATCCTACACCAGGTGGCAGAAAACTCTTGGTATATCAACTCTTAAGCGCTAGCTGGATAAATACTTGATCAGACAATATGTTATTTATCCCCTCAGAGACGATTATTCTCACTGTGAGAAGGAAAACCGAGAAGAAAAAATGGCTGGTGTTTTTCTTAGAGCCTTTACTGTCCAATCATGTGAGAAATTACCTGATGATTAGCCCCTCCCCCCCCCTCCCCCCTGTTATTTCATTTGATGATTAAACAACTTAAGTTAACCTGATCTAATCTAAAGCTAATTTA